TCGTTTAAATGTAGCTGACGATGATTACAGTTGTAATCGAAAGCTCCTGTTTTAAATAAAAGTTTTAAAATAATGATTGTTGAACTCATACAATTAATCTTTTCCTTTATGAAATTATTACCTTCTCCTGTATTTTCAGGTACATCTACCGCCTCAATTCATATCGATCAACAAGCTTATTTTGTTTGAAGGAGAAATTCAGAAACCAGAGAAGAAAATAGAAAAAAATTAGAAAAGAAAAGAGAAAGATTTAATACTTTGTACAGTTATCGACTTTATACAAAAACTGGATATTTTGCCACCCCGCACGGAAGGGGGAATTTGATGACTTTGATTAACGCGTTTTTTTAAATAAAAGTACAGGCGCTTTTATTAAAAAGTTTTTAGCAGGAGTTCCATTAAAATGACTTTGATGGCACAAGAATTTTATCTAATAGATATATATCGCTTAGCAAAAGATACCTGTTTCACTTCGTGTCCTGCTTAAATACACCCAACGCAAACGCATTGGTATTAAAAGAATATAGAACAACGTTGTCAATGACATCAAACGTCTGACAAAACAGAAAATGATGAAGTCGAAGAGCCAATGCTATTGCGTTTTCTGATAGAGCTATTATCATTTCGGACGTTATATCACAAATATAACTCTTTCAAAAACTTTCAGCAAAATGATCGTAACTCTATCAGAAAACATGGTGACGAACTGGGAGACATCTCATTTTGTAGAGAAATCTTAAGTCTCCAACCAAATCGAATAAAAGTAATCGAGTATTGGGTAATCCTATCTGGGTAATCCAGTCCAATACCCAATATACCTAGGTACAGGTGAAAAGAAAGTATTGAGTATTGGGCAATCCATGCTAGCTAACCCAATACAGTAGTCAATATATCTAGATGACCCAATACTATACTCAATATTACTTGATATATCAATGGTCGATCAGTGTCGTAGAGGAGAAGAGGTACACTCATCTTCTTCTATGAAATAATTTTTTAAATGATGACGCTGATAACGAACGAAAGATTTTAAATTTGTATTAATAAATGCTAATTCACACAATAGACATTGCGTAGAAAAATTTCGGCTGTCGCCTGGACAATTTTGATGTGACGCAAAAATGAACGGATGTTATCGATAGCGACGGAGCATAAGCTGCAATGATGAGCAGTATTTGACATAAGAATTGTCTTAGTTATATCCAAAACACGGAGAGAGAAACTAATCGTTAATTTGGTCAGCAGAACCAGGAATTCTTAATTTCTGCCTAAGTCGTCGTTTATAGATAGCGCATTCATAAAATAATATAGAAGAAAGACGACACTCAACATTTTTCACTCTCAAGCAGTCAAAGACCGTTCACATTGCAAGAGCCTAATACTAGCAAAGAATCGGTTGAATCATTTAGGACAAAAAAACAAAAATGCATCTCAGCAACTATTCTGTGACGGTTGTCCCCTTCCCAAAACAGATTCACTCTCAAGGGTGCAACATGTTTTCCACCGCAAAAAGCCAAAACTTAGGTGGCTGTTTCACTCTCCCTATTCAGCTGGAGAATTGCAGGGCTTGGCTAAAAGCGTCTTCTAAGCAGTTTCTGACTTCAAGAAGGTGGCAGTCTTTTCCCCTCCTACTCTTTCATTTTTTCATTTTATCTCTCTCTCGTACGATCTTCAGAAAGATATCATTTTCCACATACATACGATTTTCCATAAAATAGAAAATAAATTTTTACAGTGCAGACATATAGAATAAATACATAGACGTCATTACTTACATTCTCTCAATTTACACAAATCTGATGCATTGGAATAGTAATTATTCTTTTATTCTATGAAATATGCTCAAAAGAAACTAGAATTATGTTCAAGCTGCAAAACTTAACCATCTTTGACACTTTTCCACATTCAAAAGCATCAAATTTGTTCTAATTGTTTCACTCAACATTACATCATAACGTTATCATTTGTTTCTCATTCCTGTCAAATTACGTAATGATAGATAAACAAAAAAATAACGGAAAGATAAAGTAATATACAAACAAAGAAACAAATAATGGCTTGAAGAGTTGATATATTCTGTTAACAGAACGCAAAGTTATTACTCTTCTGTTAACAATATATAATTACGAAAATAAAAAGGATGTTTCTTTTCTTTCCAACAGACATAGTCTACTGTTCGGAATGGGTGGATTATAAAAAGATTAACAGTGCTTCTATCAACTAACAATAATCTTATTGTATCAAATGTTTAAAAATGCAATACGTCTATCGTTACTCTTCGTTCATTTTTTTATTATTCTCTGTTACTTAGTCGTTCTCGGTTACAGAAGTACTGGTGGCGATAGCGGAAATAAGGATGATGTTCTCTATGGTGAAATTGGATGGCATTATGTAATCAAAGTTATTTTATCAGTAACTATTATAATCGGTGTCGTCAAACAACTATCACGAAAAGATTTTTGGTTCTTGCTCGTCTGTGTAGCTATTACAACCATTTTTACACTGATACAAATCGGACGTCATACATATTTAACGCTAATGAGGGGTACGGAATATAAAACAGAATTGACTATTGTCGCTGTTATTGACTCGATTATTTTGACTGTCCTATGGTCTTATTTATGGCTAAAATTTAAGCAATTAAAGCGACAACACGAACAACACAATGACGCAGTCGTTACCGACGTTTCTTTACGAATAGGAGAGGGTCTCAGCCTTTTTTATGTAAAATAAGATGTTAGAACTAGAAACCCAAACTTAGAGCAGGTTTTCGTTTTCTTTTATGTGAGTGTACCGTAATCAAAAATCTTACGTAAGTTGCTTCTAAAGAGTGCGCGTTTGATAAAATGATATAGGACTGAGAGTAAGAGGTCTCAGATTGGGCTCATTTTTATACATATTCTAGAGTAACGTGGACTAGATAAAATCTGGAAGTATGAGACCTTGAATTCATATGTTTCCTGTACTTTGGTATGTCACAAGGTATAGATCGTATGATGCGCCAAAAATGAAATGAAAAGTTAATTTTTTTACTAAGATGTTTTATTGGGAAGAAAATATAAGAAATAAATGGAAACTTGAATTCTACATCTGGAAACGTGGGGAAAAAGTTATTGTTAAGTATTTCAGGCAGGCATGTTACGTGGACAAATAAACTTTACGCACAGGCTGACTCTAGCGGCAAATGGAATTTCTCAGAACGTTGTACACTCAGGCGCTAGCTATCATGTTTTGTAAATAACTTTAATACGAAACTCTTCTGGCCAAGATCCAGTTTAGTGCTTTTATGTCCTATACGGTCTCTTGTTGGACAATATGTGCTATTCCTAGAGGGCTTTTCAGAAACATAATACCAATGTTGTAATCAGTGATGAATTTGGGATCGAATGACGTATTGCACAGATTAGAAAGAGGAAAATAAATTTTTGGCTTCTCAGATTGGCCAAAGTACAGGAAACATGTTACTTCAAGGTCTGGTACTTCCAGGTTTTATTTAGTCCACGTTACTCTACAACATATATAAAAATGAGCCGAATCTAAGACTTCTTACACCCAGTCCTATATCCTTTTATCAAATACTCACCCTTAAGTGCCTTCATCCTTTGGTTTTATAAGTAAAAACAACGTAGAACCGAAGCAATCATTTTCCGGATCTTCGAAAGTTTTCAGAAAGACGTTTAGCAAACCAGTTTTGTAGCAAACTTTTTAAAAACTATTTTTCTTAACATGATCCAAATCGAAGTAGAAATGAATTTCATAGACTATGAGACGTTTCTGAATCTATGAGATCTTTTATTTCCAGGTTATTTTATTTGGAAGAGGCCGACGATAAGTTTCCCAGATTTTCAGAAAGTAGTGGGTCTTCAAAAAATCGTTGAAGGTCTCATGTTCTAAGAAATTCGTTTTTCTATCACTCTAAACTCATTTTTGGAAAAAATAGTTTTTGTAAAGTTTTCTGGTAACCCTGTTGAAGATCTGGAAAATGATTCCGTCGGATTCTGCGTCGGTTTTTACCTTTTATATAACCAAATTTTCATAGAATTTGACTCAAAACTCATGATTTAATGCAAGGTCGACTGACTGGGTCGACTTACTGGGTCGACTTCGGGCAAAACCACCTAAATTCCAGTAAAAATCGATTATCTCAGGAATCGAAAAGAATTTCAAAAAAACCGCCCCATATTATTTTTGTTTAGCTAACGGTAAATAGCATATGAAACTTGGCTCTATCTCTTCACACAAAAAACTAGATAGGTTTACAAAGGAACACTTTTAGAATCTCTGGTTCGAATGACTGCCTTGAATTCAGTTTTTTGGCTCAAAATAAAATGTATTTCTATATTCAGTTTTTAACGCTGCATATGACAAACATTGTCTCAAAGCTTTGAAATGGTCTCTGGCCGAGTTCTTGAATTTTTTAAAAATTTTGGCTGTTTCTCGAACTTTTAGGCCCTTAAAGTGTCTAAAAACTTTTTTCATTTAAATTCTGCCGTGAAAAAATCAACAACTTTCTTTTTCTTGGTATCTTGAACAGCTTAGTGTCCTCTGTCCGGCCATGCATAAATAAGCTTAATCAAAAGAATGCTCCAATTTCGAATTAGCTACGCTTTACATCGTTATAAGTTTTCTTTTTTCTTTCAAATGGTAAATAAATATTGAATCGCATTATTCTAATTTATGTGCGTTTGCTGTTAATAATTCTTACTTGCGGTCATTCGTTTCGTCCAAAAAAGGCTTCTCACACAAAATACTCTTTTCTGTGGTTCTTTTACTTTTGTTCTGCTATATGCCAAAGTACATGATTACTCGGCTTTCTATCTTTTTCGTGCTTTTTTAACTTTTTGTTTTTCTTCATTAAAAGCGTGCGTGTTCATATATTAATATATGTTCCTTGTACTATTGAAATTCTTTACGACGTCGAAAACATGGCAGGTAAATAATGATAAAGAAGACAAACACCAGTTTTAGAACCGGTTTCGAAACTACATTATCGAAAACCTAAAAAAGAAGCATTTGTTGCTGCTGCTTTCTCCGTAATTAAGTTAGTCTCATAGAATTCTACCTCATGAGATTTTGAGGATCAATACTATCACAGACAAAAACAGCTGTTGTATTTAAATCTCTAATTTAGCCATTCGATGTGTACTCCATGAACTATCTGACATTATACGTGGCGCATGGAGTCACTTGAAACCGCCGATTAGTCTTGGTATAGCTATCGCTCTTCCATCTTGGATAATCAAAGTTTATTTTATGACACACCTCTGTCAAATGACATTGCTCGCTCCGTTCATCTCCTCGTATTGCTCACCGACACCTACTGAGAATCCATCGCTTAACAACGAGAAATACGTTAAAATATCTCCCATCGGCATGTATGTCGAAAAGAGTGCATCACTTGCTGAAATGCTGGCTGATTCTGAAATATCAGCTCCTACTCGAATGATGGAAGCAAAAATGGCCATTACCGATCTCATACCAGTTCTTCAATACAGTGACGTCGAACCGCCCATGAAGCAGCAGCTACTACACCATTTAAATAATATGAGACGATCAATTCAAGACGTTACTACCAAGATAACAACAATGGTGGCAGCGTTCAACGAGGCACTAGAGAATCTTAAAATGTATATCGAATACACATTAACTCATCTCACATATGTTCAATCATCGCCGAATTTGTCAACGTTCGACGGACAACAAGATCTTCAGAAATCATTCAGTACCTATCTGACATCGATAAACGATGAAGTGAATCGAGTTTTGTTCAAAACACAAGATGTTTCTCAAGATCTCAAGGATATTGATGAGTCTTTATACACAATCAATGACTTACTTCGACGACATCAAGCCGTCACAAGAAACGACCTGGACAAGCTCGAACATGGTAGCTATCTAGCCACTTTATATCGAATGACGGTTGGAAACGGGAGAATCGATCAAGTAAAATACAAAAGAAATATAATAACTCTGGACAATTTTGCTCATTTTACACAACACTTATCGGCAAACACCAATAATATCATTTTGAAGTTGTCAGAATTTACCAGCGAAGCCGATCAACTCAAAGAGACTGTTGCCTTAGTATCTCTTCAGACGATTCCAATTGAAGTCCATACTGAACTATTGAGAAAAGCAATCAAAAGACTGGATACGTCGAAGGAAACGTTTCGTGGACGTAAACGGTTAGATTACAAAGCATAATTTGTTAGTAACTCACCTTCTGATTTGGAAACGATCGATCAGTTCTGCTTGCCGGTCACTGATTAATCGACCAGTCACCAACAGACTGGATTGACCGATTCCAACTCTCCTCTGGTGAACTTCTTCTTTTCTTACGAGTTCAATCAGACTTTCGATCCTGAATTGAGTGATGAAAAAGTCTTTATTCCTCTTGAGGTTCATGTATAACAGAATGGTGGCTTGTTTTTCATTTCTGCTTTTAGCTGTATATTTTTTAAAAATAGATAATAAGATATAAACCATCTTTATCATATACCGCGAACACAGAAAACGACGTTACCGCGAACGACATACCGCGAATACAGAAAAAGACATTAGCGGTAACGTCGTTTTCTGTGTTCGCGGTAATGTCGTGCGCGGTAATGTCGTTCGCGGAAAAGTCATTCGGCATAAAGTCCTTTGCGGTAATGCCGTTCGCGGTAATGTCGTTTTCTGTATTCACGGTATGTCGTTCGCGGTAACGTCGTCAGAAAGCAACATAACCATACCACAGAAGCATGACATTACCGCAAATTCAGAAATCGACATTACCGCGTATGATTTTATCGCGAACACAGAAAACGACATTACCGCGTATGATTTTATCGCGAACACAGAAAACGACATTACCTTACCACAGAAGCACGACATTACCGCGAATGACTTTACGAAAACGACCCCGTCGTGACTAGTCCAAAATTTTAACGGTTAATTAAAAGAAAACCGTCCGTTGTAGTGTTGCTGACTAGTCTGCCAAGTTATATAATGACGACGTCTGGACTAATCTAAATGAAAGAAAGATAGAGAAATAGGTTAGAAGTGAACATGCGACACTTTGTTTTACATACCTGTGATTGAACCGACTGAACCATTACGCTATCAGTTTATGCATGCTACTTTTTAGTATGCGTGAGGAATATTTCGCTGAGGCAGGCTTTTTAAGAATTTAGGTCTTCGTCGCACCCTTGTTACAACTTTCAAATAAATAGTGCTGAGCAAAAGAACTTTTTTTAAAAATTTTGGTCCATGATTCCATGGTTGAGCCAAGGGGCAAGCTTTCGAAAAAATTCCTTGCTTAAAATTCCCTGCAATATGCATTGTTCAGTTCGGTTTTCACGCGGATTCCACATATCACCTCGGTTCCGTTTCAAATTCACATCTTTCAACAAATTGAAATTATTAGGACAATTTGTCCAATTTCCTGCTACCGGCTGCATTTGGTGTCTAAGTTTCTGCATGAATCTACCGTTGGTAACATGTAAATTACTCTATCTTATACAGGGGGTCGTATCACAAAAAACTTAAGTTAAAGTGTGACTTAAGTCATGCGAAATGTGGTCTTAAAGTTAAGACCGAAAACTTAAGTCATCGAATAGATTAGGCATTTAACGATACGATTCGACGAAAACGAGATTCTAAGGATTAGAGAATAAATATTTCGTTATTTTGTGGGTTTTTATCCGAAGTTTGTGACTGCTGCCAACGACGTTTAAAAAGTAAACAAATTGTCAATTTAAGTCTTTTTCGTGATACGGTTTAAGTCCCGACTTAAGTTTTTTCTTGATACGACCCCCAGAATTATGCGCTCTACAAAATGCGACATATGCTTCTACGTATAACTGAACCGTACATTATTTTCCCTAATCCCATAGGGCTTGTTGACAGGCACAATCCTATTTATCTAGAACAATGCACCAGACGTCCGCCCGGTCCGGGCGTCAGTTTCTTTGCACAGACGGTGTAATGTTTCGACTATGGAATTAGCCATGTCCCCGTTTTCTTCTTTGAACTAGTCTAGACGGGTATAGTGGACAAAACAGACTAGTCATGCCGCCCGAAGAGACACTCCAGACCAGTCTAGACGGGTTATACGGACATTTGTTAAAAACTGGTCTAGTCATGACGAGCGAAAGAGACGTTTCAGACTAGTCCTGACGGGATGTACGGACACTTCGGACTAGTCATGACGACCGTCTCCGTACCTTTTGGCTTACCCGGGCACATACGATAATTGTTCATACGCAAACGGGTCTTTTTCTACAATACCGTAGTCCATATATTCCATCTGTTAGCTTTCCAATGACAGCAGCAACATGTTATCTCCTGCCTGTAGCAGTACAAACAAAAGTCCCACAATATCATAATTTCACACATATATGCGACAAAAGATTTATATCGGAAGTAATCGCTATAGGAGGATGAACAGCAGCGCTGGCTGTATCTGCAGCCAATACAACTTTAATCGCTCAGCTAAATTCAAAAGTTAGTAGCCTTACATCAACACTTACAGAACGTACACTAAAATTAAATTTTCAAATGGCTCAAATTGCTCACATCGAATCTGGGCTAGCTCAAACGGGGGCAAGCACTAAATAATACACAACAGTGTGTCAATAGCCTTATACAAATTCTCAATCAACATTCAGCTGTTATCAACGAAAATTCAAAACCAATCGCTATACATGATATGGTGCTACAAAACATGGATTAATATCTTTGGAACAACGTTTTAGCACATTGAATAATCTACACGTATCTACATTAACACGACCAGTCCTAACGGAACAAGAATGGACTATAAACCAACCTGTTTAAATACCATCCGTAGCCCTGGTCAATGTTACACACGGGGCAACAGTTGTATGCCCGAATTTCGATTTACCGGGATCCCCTACATCACCCGACAAACCATCATTAGCCATCTTTCATAATCAAACATTATCTTTATTCGATAATGATGTGCTTAATCTTATAAGAGACCTCGCAAGTAATGAAAAAGATTGCCATATATCGATACGGCCATTGATGCATTCATACAATTCATCACACAACCACCGTTAACACCACCGACAATCACTCTAGATCATCCAGTAGTTAAAATACCATTCATAACAATGGTGGCTGTCAGTGCTGTCTTTCTGTCGGCATGATCATTTACTATTCTTGCAAAATAAAACAGCATGGATGTGAGTGCATTAGGATAAAACTACCAAACAGCCTCGCTAGTTCATAATCAGACATACCGGCAGCTTTCAATTCTCAATATGTACATAGTCAGCCACACAATCACTTTCTAGAAATTTTTTATTCCTATTTTCTTTCTCAATTCGTTTTATTTACATTTATTCGTGTCTCTCTTCTTCGATATCATCAACAATTAATTTTCTCTGAAACAACTAGACCAGAACAAAATAAATTAGCTAAACTGCTCTGTTGTGCACTACATTTAATATATGAACGATAAATTAAATATTGCAACAATCTACAAAGCAGTACAAAAAAATCGATTTTGGGTCATCGACAGCTCAGCTCATGTATTAAAACGAATTAAAGAAATTAATATGCTTAGTATGAAATGCACAGCTAAGAAAAGTATCTTGTCTAATAGCACAGTCATACAAACTAATGGATGGTTCGCTACTTTCCAAAGTAACATCAATATTCAAAACAACAATAAACACAAATATTATACAATAATTAGTAGAGAAACATTCGGTCAAATGATTAAATTTCTAGTCGAGAAAAATTATTTCACCCTAGGAGAAAATTATTTCACCCTAGCTCTGTTTCAAGAGCTATCGTTTGATGTCCTTAAAACTGCAAAAAAACCGGTGGATCACAGTCAAAATTGAGAATTACTTGAAATTTAACAGAAAAGCCTTGGGGTTTTCGCAGTTTTAGGCGCAAAAAATTGACATTTTCGATTGCTGATTCGCTAGACACACTTATATCTTCGCTCCAGCCGTTCAATCCTCTGACGAGGCCCTTGGGCAAGGTCGGAACCGAGTCTTCACCACTCGGTCGGGGTGGCCCGGGGCTGCAAGTGTCAAACACAAGTTCTCAAATCACAGCTTCTCAAATCGTACAGTCTTCGATATTTGTTAGAGCACGTTTTCTAACACGTGTACTTTCCTTTCTTTTGTACAGTGCCTGGAGTAGTAAAGTCTGTAATGTATTTTTTTATTTCTGTCCATCCTTTTTATATGTACATTGTCTATGTTAGTTATTTCTTTTTTTCATTCTTCTAGTCTCTTCGACTGTCAAGGCTTTTCTGTTAAATTTCAAGTAATTCTCAATTTTGACTGTGACCCACCGTTTTTTTGCAGTTTTAAGGACATCAAACGATAGCTCTTGAAAAGTTACATTTAATGACAAATTTCCAAGTTGGTTCAAGACTTTCATCCGGGCCGTTTTGGTTAGTGCTGGCGAAAAACCCGTTTTGGGGTCGTATTTCTAAAATGGTGTCTTAGAAAAGTTTTTAAAACTATTTCTGATAACAAGATCGGATGCAGCGTAAAATTCTGCATCGAACGATGTGCTTTTCTAAGTATCCTGGAGATCGTGGGTGGAGAAATAAAAATTATATGTGATTTTGAGGGATTTTGAAAAAAACGAGTAATTTTGGGCTCTCGCCGAAGTAAAGGCATTTTGTTCGTTCTAATGTTAATATTCGTGATCAGCATCGTCGATTACATATGTCTGGACGCTTTTAATTGAAAATGAAAATAAAAAAATTTTCAAAAATCCTGAGAGGGACCACAGGCTCCAAAAACCTGAGCGAGAGCTGTCGCGAAACTAAGTGTCAGGAAATGTTCCTACGCATGCCCTGACACCATTCCAGCGCAAAAAGCCGAAAAATTTGGGGGCAGGAAAACGGTCTTAATGGCCCACGTCCTTTCGTTCTAAATTTGTTAATAAATGTACAATATACGACGAAGTAGTATTAGCATTGCAAGATGGATGGGGTGGTGCACAGTTTAAATTTTGGGCCAAGAAGTATTTTAAGTTAGTTAATATTGGCACAACAACGGTTGTTTATTTTATTAACCCTCCGGAGGTGTTTGTGGGTCCAAGGAGACTCACAGTAGTGTTTTCGGTTTTTTTCTACTTTAAGATCTATGCAATTCGAAGCGATCTCTTCGCTAATCGTTAGTCTTCTAATGATGCATAAGAACCATATGAAGAATTAGAATATCTTACAT